TGGAGTAATACAATGATTCTAATGTGAAATAGATATTCGATTTTGATCACTTGTAGAACTTTTTTGTATAACCTACTTAATGCATCTATTTTAAAAACATAATCAAACTCATGTGCAAACTCATATGTTGACTTTATCTATTCATAAAAAATGACTTTTAAATAACACCACCTCATGTAACAACTCATTTCTTTACAGAATAAAGGACCCCATAAGATGCTAGTCATTGCGTTGTTGGGCAAACTACTTAACTATTTTACCCTTAAAATAATTTAACTAAGCTAAACACGTGAAATGGAAATTAGCTATATCAAACATTGAAACATGTCGTAGACAAACGAGATGACTAAGTCAAACACAAACATATCCAATGTAGACACAAACATAATGAGTAAGTCAAACATTAAGCTCATATTTTGTCTCCGTTATTTTCAAAATATATTTTTCCCTCTCTTACTTTCAATCATACATTTTTCAATAAAATAATATTACACGTAAACCCAAAAAACTTTCTTATTTTTTAATCACACATTTCCATCAAAAAAAATATTAAAAAATACATTTTTAGTAAAAATTGGGCTCGAACAGACTCTAAAACATGTCCAATGTAGACACACACAAATGAGGAAACGGAAAGTGGATGGTTGGAAGTCTCGATGAGATGAGATGAACCTACAAATGTATGGGAAAATGACTGAAACAACTTGTTTTTAAAATAATATGCTAAAAAATTAAAGAAATACTTGTACAGTTGTTGGTCTAATAAAGAAAATGCTTTTATGGAGATATAACTCATAACGCCACGAGATACAAACAACAATTGAAAACACTATTTTAATAACTGCATCAGCTATTGAGGCTACAACCTACAAGTCTATAATTAGAATTATGCATGTACACGTCTAATATTATTAGTAACTTCAATTTTATTTCTATTATCTAATCAAATTTTAATTTAAATCGCGCATTTAAAACTATTACTTATTATTAACCACATATCTCATAATGCCCACTACTATACATTCTTTCTACAAAATTCTTAAAGAGTTACTGTTGGGTTTTTGATACCCAATAAATCCGAGCGATGATGTTAAACCGTTTATGTTGGATTAGTCTTTATAGGCATCGGCCAATGATTGAAGTTGAATGTCGACACCACAATGAACG